AAAGCTCCCTACACCTTTTCTAAATTCACAGAGTGATGCTGTTCTAGCCAGAATGGAGACTGCTGGGTCAAGAACAGAGCACTTCCTTCACTCCACCAAGTGTTCAGCGGCCCCTCCACCTTCAACAGGTCCTCTTCCCTGAGGGCGCCCCCAGAGCCCCACGCGACGCCACGCGCTTCCCAAAGACAGTCTCTTTTTAAGCCTCGCCACCGCCTGTCCCCGTTTTACAGACAGGGGAGTTTGTCCAAAGCGGTGTACAGGCCGCTCCGTATTTCCACCACCGAGCTCTGCCCTCCCTTCTTCACCAAGACCATTTCTTCGTGCGTCCCTTCCACGCCATCCGCACAGCCTTAATCCCACACTCAGATGAGTCCAAGACCTTCCTTGGTGAGCACTCTATCATTAATTCTCCTTCATCTTCCACCCAATTCCTCCAACTTATCCTCCACTCAGATACGAAAATCATTCCCCTGAAAACGTAATTTTAGTCGCTTTTTCGATATCATTTCCATGGAGTAACTTCCACCTGCTGCTCATCTCAAATTAAAAACAATAAGCTACAATTATTTTGTCTTCTATAAACCACTGACATATACTGACCTTGACTCTGCTATACCCCAATCCTTGCTCCACGTATCAAGCAGAAAAACTAGCTTATCAGCCAGCAATCAACTCCGCTGTCTCTCCCGTCTGTGACTTTCACACACGCCATCACCCCAGCTGAAAACACCTTCCTCTTATCCTTCTAACAAGGCACGCCTCACTCCTCAATGCTCATCTATTCCCAGAAGATTTCAGGCAAAAGCCTAGCCAGTACAATTCCAAATTCCACCATTTACCTGCCCGGTTTCCTAAAGGGAGTTACTATGCTAGAGTCAGATGAAGTCCCATTCACTACTTGACACTCGTTTTATCAACGTGGGTCCTTTAGGGCCTAAGCCCATCCAAGCCAACCATACCTACGCTCCAAAAGAAGCTTCCCCTCGAACCAGATATAGTTGCCCTCTGCTCTCGCCCGGCCTGCATTCATTCCTCCCTTTGTGCTGCCTTTTGCCACTTCCTAAGCTGAGAAGCATACACCCACTGTAGAAGCAAAGGAAGCTCTGATACTGGTCAAAGCCAAGAGCCCTCCTGGACCACGGGGCCAGGAAGGCAGATGGATCAACATGTCCTACAGCTCTTGCTGCCTCCTTGTGATCCTTGGATTGTCTCTGGGGGAGCCATTCTCAAGGCCATGGCTCATGTGATTTGTCTCAGAAGGCCCAGGGAAGAGTCACCGGACCTAGTCTTTACAAAAAGGAAAAGGAGGGAATCTTTGTTTTCCTTCATGTCACCCAAGTAGCAAAAATTCAACAGCGAAAACTGAGTAAAAGATGCCGTAGGAGGACATCTTCCAGGCCAGGCCTCAGGCCAGAGAAGCAGAAGGCTTCAAGGGCCAGCTCAAGTTCAAAGTTCCCAGTAAAGCCTCCAGCACAAGCATGCACCAAGTCCTCTGTCCACTTTGATCCTCCCTTTCTCTTAACGCCCAGGCGCCTATAGCACACTAGCTTCATGAGATACCGAGCAATTTAGAAAGAAGAACATACAGAGATGGGGTGGGAAGTCTCTCAGGACCAAATATTCACACACAGAGAATACAACGGGAGGCAGAAACAGGGGCCCTGCCCTCCCACCGACTTACACAGTAGGATGACAATGAAGCGACTTCATCTGAAGAACAGTACCATGTGCTGTAACAAGAACACCCGACAGGACTGACAGGAGGACAGAGCTTATCTAGGCAGTCAGATAAGGAAGTGAGTCTGCACCTGAGGCTAAGTCCAATCATACAAAGTCTTTCAAGCCACCGTACCATTTTGTTTAGGTTTTTGGGTGGTAGTGTTTTAGGGGAGGGGTTTTTTTTTTTTTTTTTGGTCTTTCCTAAAAGCAAGGAGAAGCCATTGAAGACATAAGCAGGGGAATGACATAACCAAACTTAACTATTAAAAACTACACAGGCGACGGTGTACAGGACAGACTAGAAAGTGACAATGAGCGGACAGACAGGAGGCAGAGATTCGGGGAACATGATGGTGGCCTGGGCTCGGTGGTGGCAGTGGAGGCAGGTTAGTGAATTCAGGATGCACCCATGAGGGGAAATGTACAGGACTTATGGGAAGGAGGTTGGGGGGCTGGAAGGAGAGTGAATAGTGAGGAGAGGTGGGCAATGAGGAGGATCCTAGGTCTCTAGGTGGACACTTATGCCCTGGGGAGACTGAGGAAGCCCAGTCTGGGGTGGGGTAGGGGTTTGGATACCATGAGTCAGAGATAAGAAAGTAGAAATCTGTCCTGCAGTTTGTTAGGCTGGGTCAACAGAGGTATAAAGCCAGCTGCCAAGTTAACAGGAAACAATGTTTCTCCCAAGAACACACTGGACAGGAAAGTATCATGAAGACCCCTTTCAGTGACTGCTGATTTCTTATTCACAAAAAGCTTATTTTGTAAAATCCCAGACTGTCAGAAATTCTGCTGTTTGGAATTACACCAGTAAAAAGGAAACATCCCACTGTCCCTGTAGGATCGAAGTCACTGGGACAAAGGGGAGCAGCCTTGATTTCTAGCTAGCTACAGAGCTTCAAATGAGGGATTTCCAGACACAGTATTCTACGTCGAGCTAAACTTTGTAGTTTTCAAAGAAATGAGGCCTGGGCCCACTGTAGTAGGATACGGTGATGGCCCCACACACAGCCCTACTTTGCTTACAGCCCATCGAAATGTGGTTTAATGTGCACTTCACCCAAACTCCACTCTTTCCCAAAACCCACAGCAACTCTAGCCTTTCATTGGCAAGATGCCCACAGTTCCTCTGGGGTGTGTCTCCCTCGTGGCAACAAACCAATAAACCTGACCTCGTTGGACTACAGGTGCTTCCTGATGGCTGCAGGCTGATTAGGCTAGGACAAACACGGAAAATCTGAAACCATGGTGAAACGGGCAAGAAGAAAAGCCAAGTAGGAGCTGGATACAGGGCCCTAACTAAGCCTGGGGGTCTGGGCCAAACCTAGGGCCAGAGATAAACCTAGGAGCCGCTGGCACCAAGATGGGAACTAAAGCTATGTGTGCATGAGACCACCCATGGAAAAGCCGTGGAGTGAGGGGACAAGGGGCCTAGGCCTGAACCTCAGGCAACTCCAGTAGCTGAAAGGCTGCTGCAGAGGACGCATCAGCAAAGCAAACCAAGACGAGATGGCCAGAGAGCGAGAAGAGATGACTACAGGGCCTGGGGACCGTGAGGCAAGAGCTCCTAAAGTCTAACTCTGATCAAGTCACCACAGATTCGCCTGTGGCCCTCGCTCTCGTATGTACCACAATTTTGATTTTGTGATCTCTAAAGATGGACTCGTGCTAACCAATTCATGAGACCCTGATGTAGTTTTCAGAACGCCGGCTTATTAATTTGCAGTGAGACACAACCACTCAGCACGCCGACACTCTCTACTACGGGTAGGCACCTTCCTTCCCTAAAGATAAATGCACATGGGTGACTAGGTGCTCTCAGAAGGCCTCTGGCTGAGCATGGGATCAGAACCAGGGGCTAAGCCAATGACCTGGAGCTACAACATAACCAGTGACCTAGAGCATATCCCGCAGGGTCTCCATGGGAGACAAAATCCCAGATCTTGAGATGTGTGGAAAGGACTGCTTACAGAGAGGAGAGCCGGGGCTGGTGAGGCCCCCCGAGACTAGCAACAGCCCTCCAGATGGAGGAATCGGAGAAAAACTGACACCAGAGCCCAGCGAGAATGGAGACTGTCAAGGAGGTCCTAGGGTGGGAGTCACAGCTGTGGAGGGAGCAGGAGGAAACACCCCAATCTCTCGCTCCGTCTGTGATGCCTCCCACTGGTGAGCCCTGCTGGCGGCCAGCAAGGAAGTCAGAGGCAGGCAGGGTGCAGGAGTACCGTCCAGAGCACGCCACAGGGCAGCACAGGGTGGATCTGAGGATTCCAAAGAGAAACTAAGCAGCACGGGGGGCTGTGGTGACCAGGAGCATTTTCCCTTCCCACTGTGCATGGTTGCCCTCCTGACCAGGTGCATCTGCACAAACCAGAAGTGTGTACTATTGAGTCCAGATACCTTCTTGTCTGCATCAGTGTTGGAGACACGCTCTGGGCCCCTCAAAAACACTTCTCCCAGAGACCATGCAGAGACTGTGAGTAGTCCAATGCAGGGTGCCAGACCAGCTTTATGCACCAAAGGCTGATTTAAATGTTACTCAGCCTCAGTCAGGCAAGTGCAGAATCGATCCCAGAATCTAAAAACTTCAATAGGTTCCCAGACTGATACCTGAGGTAATGGCTCAGGTCAAATCTCAAACTCTGAATGAACAAGTCCTGGCAATTCTGGACTTAAATCAGTGCTAGAAACTGACCTGTCAGGGCTGGTGGGGCACCTGGTGGCTCAGTCACCATCTCCAACTCTTGGTTTCGGTCATGATTTCAGGGCCGGGGGATCGAGCCCACATCAGGCTTCGAGCTCAGCAGAGAGTCTGCTTCGGATTCCCTCTCTCCCTCTGCCTCCCACACACCCCCCGTTCTCTAAAATATATAAATAAATCTTCAAAAAAACCCGACCTGTCCATTCACCTAGAAACAAGGAAACACACACCGATCTCTACAGACGCATTTAACTCCATGCAAGGTTTCCATGTGGCAGGATCTTTAATTTACACAAGCACTTAAATCGTAGAGTAGAGCTTTTTAAATCAAGGATGAGAGTAGAAAGAGAAGACAAACTCCAGAAAGCTGGCCACTCTTCCCCCACTGCCAACTTACACACGTCTGAGCTGCCCGCTCCAGGGTGCCTCTCTTCCTTATGCCCCCCGCCTGTCCCAAACGTAATCACAAGGACTTAACAGCGTTTAAGGCTTATGTACCACTACTCTACAGTTGTTCCTGTAAGATCAACCTGCTGGCCTAGACTGCTGTCACCGTCCACGACTGCTAAACGTAGGGAAGACTCACTTTTTTCTACAATCTTTAATTTCTGGAAGCTTTCCAGCACCTCCCCATTTAGTATTCGGGGCAAGAAGTCCCGGATCTGCATTACTTCAGTTGTCAGCCGTTCCAGGTCCTTCTTTCTCACTTTAACGAATTCCTCCTTAGTCCCCACGTGCTAAAAGAACAAGCAGATTTTAACACCGTTACGTCTCTCTCCCGAGTCGGCGGGCTTCCTCCCTTCGACACCTGCTTCTCATGAAGGCTTCAGAAGCACGGCTCTACCCAACGTGCCCTCGGCTCCGCAGACTGCGAAGTGGGCGCCCGTTTTTTGTTTCTCGTCTGCACCCGAGGCCCTCCCCCGAAAGCCGAAGAAGATGCCAGCCGCCGTTCCTGTCCGGCCCGGCGCCCGGCGCCCGCAGACGAGGCGGACGTTCACCGGCTCCCACTCGGTGCGCCCCCGCCCCCCACCCCGCGTTGGCCTCCGCCACCCTTCAGCGGTGTCAGGCCGCAAACAGGGGCACGGGCAGGCTGGTGGCCTTCAGCGAGCGCCGTGAGCCGGGTCTCGCCCACCTCCCCTGCAGCGGAGGTCACAGCGTGGGGACCTGGGGCCCGCGCCGTCCCTGCACCTGGCACCGAGGGCTGGGCTCGGGCCACACGTGCCACCGTCGCGCCCCCTGCCCCAGAGCGCAGCCCCCGCGCGCTCGGCGGCGCCCCACCCCGGGGGCCACCCTGCCACGGACGAGGCCCAGGGCAGCCCGGGGAGCACTAGGCAAGACCAAGCGCGTCGCCACACAGCGCGGGAAAGACACTGGGGGCAGCGCGGGCCTCCTCACTGACCCGGCGGGCCTCCTCAGCGCCGCCTGCCTCGCCCATGGCCGCCGCCGCAGCCTCCGCTCCTGCGCCTGCGCCGCTGCGCGCCCTCTGACCCCTCACGCCCGAAAGCGCGGGAACGCGTCCGCACTGGCGTCGGAAAACGGAGCGCAGCGAGGCTCAAACCTCGCAGAGTTTGAGCGGCGTTCTCGGCCCCGCGCACCAGGGTTGGGGTCGGCGAGATCCCGCGTCGGCTTTCCTGGCTTAACCGGATTTTTAAACTCGTTAACTGCAAAGTAGAAGGACAGTGAGACTCCAGTGTAAGTGTCAAGTTAAATAGGTCGAACTGGACCTTTCCCGTTTGGCAAGGGACGATGCTTTCAAGGGAACCGCCCGCACGGGGCTGGCGACTATGCTCCCTCGCTGGGCTCTAAGCTCCATTCGCAAGGCTCGAAGCTTTCTGACAGCGGTAGTTTACTAGTAAACTAGTTGCACCTCGTCTGCCCCGGATAGGGAAGGTCAGTCCAGCCAGCTGGCTAAGCAACTGAGACGACCACCGTGAATTGGAAGATGCCATCTCGTCCACTCACTTGCCCCCACATGCCCACCGAGTTTGCAAATTAGGGTGCAGCCTGTGGGTTCAAATGTACTGGGTTATTGCACAACTAAGACTTCGTCTGTTTCTGAAATTGGCAGGGAGCCAACACCGGAGTCCTCTGAATATTCTCCAGGCCTGGGAACAGACTCACAAGTACACCCTCTAAATCTCTGCGCCCATGCCGGGACCTGTACCAGCCCATCATCCCCTGCATCTGTCCGTGTACCTGCCTCTGTCGCTGCCATCCCCTGCACCAGGATCTGCCCCTGCCATCCCCTGCAAAGAGCTGACCCTGACCCTGTCCCTGCCATCCCCTGCACCGAGACCTGCCCCTGCCATCCCCTGCACCAGGATCTGCCCCTGCCATCCCCTGCACCAGGATCTGCCCCTGCCATCCCCTGCAAAGAGCTGACCCTGACCCTGTCCCTGCCATCCCCTGCACCGAGACCTGCCCCTGCCATCCCCTGCAAAGAGCTGACCCTGACCCTGCCCCTGCCATCCCCTGCAAAGAGCTGACCCTGACCCTGTCCCTGCCATCCGCTGCAAAGAGCTGACCCTGACCCTGTCCCTGCCATCCGCTGCACCGAGACCTGCCCCTGCCATCCCCTGCACCAGGATCTGCCCCTGCCATCCCCTGCAAAGAGCTGACCCTGACCCTGTCCCTGCCATCCGCTGCACCGAGACCTGCCTCTGCCATCCCCTGCACCAGGATCTGCCCCTGCCATCCCCTGCAAAGAGCTGACCCTGCCCCTGCCCCTGCCATCCCCTGCAAAGAGCTGACCCTGACCCTGTCCCTGCCATCCGCTGCAAAGAGCTGACCCTGACCCTGTCCCTGCCATCCGCTGCACCGAGACCTGCCCCTGCCATCCCCTGCACCAGGATCTGCCCCTGCCATCCCCTGCAAAGAGCTGACCCTGACCCTGTCCCTGCCATCCGCTGCACCGAGACCTGCCTCTGCCATCCCCTGCACCAGGATCTGCCCCTGCCATCCCCTGCAAAGAGCTGACCCTGACCCTGTCCCTGCCATCCGCTGCACCGAGACCTGCCTCTGCCATCCCCTGCACCGAGACCTGCCCCTGCCATCCCCTGCACCAGGATCTGCCCCTGCCATCCCCTGCAGAGCTGACCCTGACCCTGTCCCTGCCATCCGCTGCACCGAGACCTGCCCCTGCCATCCCCTGCACCAGGATCTGCCCCTGCCATCCCCTGCACAGAGAGCTGACCCTAACCCTGCCATCCCCTGCATCGGGACCTGATCCTGACCCTACCATGCTCTGCACCGGGACCTGCCCTGTCCCTACCTCTGCCCCTGCCCCGCCCCCGCCCCGGGACCCGGATACTGGGGACGCTGGAAGGCACCGCCTCCAACAGCAGCAGAGCCTCAGACCGGGCCCCCATCAGGGCGACCCCTCAATGGGGCTGTCCCCCACATCCCGCCCAAAACCCCTACGACTGCCGCCCTTCTCTGTCTGCACCCCGCAGAGGCGGCTCAAGGAGTCCAGTACAATTAAAAACTCGGCGCCGTCTATCTCGTAGGCGAGCAGTCGATCGGATGGAGTTTCCGTAGAGCGGGCTTGAAGAGTCTAGACCACTGAAATTGGCCATCCGTCTCTTCCTGGCCAAGACTCAACGCTAGCTAACCCCGCCGCCAAACGCCCGGAGCTGTGGCGACTACGGACAGCCGAAGCGCGGAGGCACGGCCGGACGCCGACCGGCTCGCTCCGCCCGCGGCCGGGGTCTGCCGCGCTCGCCCCCAGAAGGCGGGCGAGCGGCGGCGGCCGGCGCCTTTGTGACGCCATCAGCCCGCGCGCGCCGCCGCCGCTAGCCGCCTTCTGCGCAGTCGCGGTCCCGGGCTGCTCGGCGGCGGCGGCGGCGGCGGCGGGAGGTTGCGGGCGGCTGGTTGCGGCCGGGGATGGTCCAGCGGGCGCGATGGCCCCCGCCATGCAGCCGGCCGAGCTCCGGTTCGCCCAGCGGCTGGCGTCCCACGAGAAGGGCATCCGGGACCGGGCGGTGAAGAAGCTGCGCCAGTACCTCAGCGTGAAGACGCAGAGGGAGACAGGTGGGCGCCCGGCGGTCATCCGCGCACATGGCGGCCCGGCCGGGGGGAGCCGGGGGAGCCGGGGGGAGCCGCGGGCGCGGCTGCCTCGCGCCTGTGTGCGTCCGCCCGCGGGAACCGCAGCCCGCCGGGTCCAGCCCGCCGCGACGGTCGAGGGGCCGCAGCCCGCAGGGGCTGGCTCGTGCGCCCAAGGCCACAGGGAGCGGGGAGGCTGGGAGTGGGCCAGTCTGCCCGGCCCTCGAGTCGCCGCACCAGGCCCGAGCGTTTCTGCTGTGCTCTCCCTGGATCCGCGCGTTGCCTGGACCAACACCTTCGGTGGCCCGAGTTACCGCAGACAAGACAGACAGAATCCCTACTTTCAAAGTTGCGCCAGGAAACCGGGCCGGGGGGGGGGTAACTAAAAGAGAGTTTTGTAAGGGTAGGAAGGGAAAGGACAATCAAGGGAAGAGGGGGCTCCTTTCCACAGGCTGTTCTGGGAGGGCCTCCGGGGTGATGATCGGGTGTGAACAGAGGCGGGAGCGGAGAGCGGAGCGTGCCCCAGAAGTGGCTGGAAGACCAGTTAAGGGACGCGTTAGGACTTAAAGCTGGAGGAGTGGGCAGTGGCCAGGTAACACTGGGCTTCATAGTTAGTTTCCTGACTGCGGTGGGATGCCATTGAAGGATTTCGTGTATCTGATCCAAAACGTGTTCTGTAAGCTCTTGAGGGTGTGAACTACGATATGCAGTGGGGGGTTTATGTTGTGCTTGGATACATTTTGATTTGTTTACTGCTAATACCAGTACCTTTAGAGTCTACTTGAAGCAACAGATACTATCTACCCCGGTACTGACTTTCTTAGTTTGGGTTATTTTGAGGAGACATCACAAAGGACTACCCAGGAAAAAGAAAATACAGTTTTATGGGAAGTCTGCTAGAAATGAATGAAGACCAAATTCCTAACTTCAGTTCTGCTGGGGATCTGCCTGAGAGATTTCACTCACTGTCATGGTTTCAGGGATCCCAAGTCCGCTGAAGGTTCCTAACCTGAAGTCTCCAGAGCAGACCTGGCTGCTTTCAGCTCAGATAGGCCTTGTGAACAGAGCACTTCCGCCTGCGTGTCCCATGGGCACCTCAGACGCCCAAAAGTGTTTCATTTTCCTCCCCCTAAAACCCGTTCTGCTTCACTTCTGCCACCATCCACTCAGAATCTGGCTGGACACACAGCAGTGTCCTGGACTCCTCTTCCTGACCCTCTCCCCACCCCTCATCCGTTGTCTCTTGCTTCTGCCTGTTTCATCTTCTGAGTTACTCTGCCCTCCCTGAGTTCCCTTTATCTCATCTAGATTCTGAACTTGCTTACTTCCTAACCAGTCTCCTTAACTCTGTTTGCCCCTCTCTTGAACCTCTCCTCCACAAACCAGCCCAGCACATCTTCTGAAACTGTTCTCATCGCGTCACCACCTTCTTGGATTTCCAGGTCTGCAGGCAATGGTGTGTCCTCCCTTTCCCTTCCCACCTCAGTCCCTATATATGACTGCTTCGTACTGGTTCTTGGTGTACAGTTTCTCTCCTCTGCCTTTGCGTCTCTTGTTCACTCCCAGCATTCAGTCCAACATCGCTTCCTCCAGACTGCCTTCCCTACCATCTCACACCACCCCTCCAGGATTCCAAAATAGCCAGTGTATCTCTACCATGGCACTTAGCTGCTGCTTCGTTATCTGTTAGTGTATCATTCTTCCCCAAACAGTGTAAGCTTCCGTCTGTCTGCTTAGCTGGAAGTGGGAGCACATCCAGGCGTATGCAGGCCTGCCTGTACACAAGAACAGAAGGCCAGATGCAGTGCATATGGGCTGAGACAGCCAGACAGAGCTTGTTGCTCAAACCCCTTTGACGAGCAGGCCCGGCATCTGAGGGGACACAGGGGTGTGAGGCCAGTAGGTGTACACCAGTGCCCCCAGGGTCCTGTCTGGTCAGCACCCATCACACTGAGAGTGAGTTATTTCATATCTCTTGTTCACCACCATGTCCACATTGCATGGAGTACGCTGGGCCTCCAGAAGAGGAACTGTACGATGAACGTGGTAGACAGTGACCATGGGGCATGCTGCCCCTGAGCCCCATCAACATGAAATGCCAGTTGGGGAATAACGTGACATTTGGGTCTGATGTGTGGGTCTCATTGACAGGCTCACAATTTGTTGTGTTTTGTCGTGTGCATAGTAAAGGAAATATGAAATCTTAGTCTTACTGATACAAAGAACTGCCCATCAGCAACATAAATAGCTTTGTGATTTTTTTTTTTTTTAAGTGACCTTGGGGCACCTGGATGGCTCAGTCAGTTAAGTGTCTGACTCTTGATCTCAACTCAGGTCTTGATCTTGGGGTTGTGAGTTCAAGCCCTGTGTTGGGCTCCACACTAGGCAGGGAGCCTACTTAATAAAAAATAAGAAAATAATCTCTGCACCTAGAGTGGGTCTCAAACTCACAGCCCTGAGATCTAGAGTCAGATGCTCCACCGACTGGGTCAGCCAGGCGCCCTGATAGCCTTGTGATTTTGAAAACAAATTGGAAATCTTTGTAGTGCTTAAAGCAGCTAAATAACTGTTCATGCAGAGCACTCACAGAATGATCACTGTCCTTGGTTTTAGTCGTGAGAGCTCATTTGTACTGTTCGTTCATTCATTCATGTCTTTAGCAAACACAGAGCACCTACTGTGTGCTGTTACTATTCTTGGAACTGGGAATAGAGCAGTGAACAAAAGACAGAATCCGCCCCTCCCCCAAGTTTTATTGATTTTACAACTTTAAACATTTAACATCTACAGAAATTGGGATGTATCTTAAAATCAACTTTGTGAGCATTTTATTTGCCCTCTTTCATTTGGTGGCACATAAAAGAACCATACTTCTTAGGACTGATGGGGTCTCAGATTCAGCAGTGGGGGAATGTTTCTTCATACTAATAGTTTTAGGGGTCTCTGGACCCCATAGGTAGAATAAATGAGAGCTGTGGATGTTTTAACTGACCAGGTGTGGACTCACCCCGACCTAAAATGACTCCCGAGCTCATTTCGCGCAAAGAGTAGCAGTCAGGTTTTCTCATTTCGCAGCTTGTTGGAATTTACTCTGCCCACATCTCACTTCGTGTGCGCCTCATTTGTTGTGAAATAACTAAACCTATGTTATTGCCAGAAACTTAGTGGCATTAGTTTAAGAAAGTTAGCTCCAAGAAGACAGATCAAAAAGCAGTTGTGGGCTGAAACTGCTTCAGTGAGTACTTTACCCTATGAGTGAAGAGAAATTAAATGATGAGCATTTCTCTGTTTTACTTTAAATGTTTCCAAAATGGGTATTTTAGGCCTTTGGCCATGGAATGAATAAGTCATGGGATGAAAGGTACAGAGAATATAGGCGGTGATACTGTAACAATGTCATGTGGGTGACACATGGTAGCTATGCTTGTGGTAAGCACCTGAAACTGATGTAACACTGTGTCAACTGTAAGTCCATTTCTTAACAAAAATGGGGGGTTCAGTCAGTAGAGCATGGTACTCAGTCTCGGGGTCATGAGTTTGAGCCCCACATTGGGGGTGGAGATTACTTAATAAATAAAAGTTTTTTAAAAAATTGGCACGTTGTTTTGACCAGCTAAATTCCTGGGTGAAAACAAATTATTTTTATACATATGTTGAAAGTACATGTATTAAAAGGGAAAAGAGCTTCAGTAGCCTGTGGGTGGAGAACATGAGATAATCATAATACCAGGAGGGCTGAATAGTGCTTTACTCTTACAAAATGCTTCCAGTACATGCTTTTAATTTTGATCCTAACCATAAACTGTACATATTCTATAGGTGAGGGAACAGGTCCAAAGGCTAGCTGATGGTTTTCTAATACAGCACAGCCAATAAGTAGTGAGCTGGGGCCTAGCCATGGGTTTGTGTCCACAACACTTTGCTACCTCACATAGGAAGAAACAGAATATGTGTTCAAGTCCAGCCCCCTTTCCTGCCCACTGTCTAGGGTCTACTGTCACCCTGTTACTTTGTTGAAATCCTTGGTTTTCCATTACATAAACCTCTCTAGCACATCCTTTGCCCCTTTGCCTATTAGGGGTATGGGTTAACCACAGATACTTGGTATATCAAATTATCACTTGGAGTTGGTTTGACACAGTGGTGCCCTTAGAAGAACTATCTGGAGATAAATACACATTGTGCTGTTTTTAAGTGAAGAAGGCCGGGATATGGAATACGTAGCGCGTGTGATGCTCTATCTAGGTTACACACACACAGCCATGCATCTGCGTTTCTGTACTAGGTGTAAGCATTATGTCAGTGTACAGGAAGGATGTGGAAAGATGCACGTCAGGCAGATAACAGTGGTCCCTCTGGGGTTCAGGGGGTAGTAAACAAGGCACTTCTGATTGTGTAACTTTTGGTGTAATATATTAATATATTGTTGTTGTTGCAATAAAAATGTGTTTTTATTGGTTAAGACTTCTTTTCAGTTACAACTTGACAGAACATCCATGCCAAACTAGTTTGTTTTGTTTCTTTATTTGAGAGAGAGAGCATGTGCGAACGCAAGCAAGCAAGCAGGGGGAGGAGCAGAGAGGAAGGGAGAAAGAATATCAAGCAGATCCCATGACCCCGACCCAAAACCAAGAGTCAGACACTTAACCGACTGAGCTACCCAGGTGCCCCCAAGCCAAACTAGTTTGAAGAGGAAAAACCAAAGCACAGCTTCATGGAGGAGCTCAACTGACAGCACCAGAACTGTTTCTCCGTAGCAAACTCTGCTCCCCTAGATTGCTTCCCTTCTCATGCAGGCTCCCCAGCACGTGCAGGTGCAGACTGCATCCTCTTCAAGTCTGCTAGGAGAGAGCAAGAGCCTCTCTGGTGGGCTCATCTGTCCAGCCTTGAACCAGCCCTGTGGCCATTTGGCATCAGCCCAGCTTGCTGGCTCCCCTTTCTGTGGGCCGAGCCCCACCCGGACCCCTGCCTCCCTCCCCAAGCCCTGCCTGGAGGATCAGTGCTGGAGGGGGTGACGGTCCAGCTGCCCCGCAGAGGCGGGGGCTGCCCGGCACCAGGCCTCACACGGGAACCAGTGTCATTCACTCCTGTGTGCTCTCGAGTTTGCCAGTGTTCATGGTTTTCCAGTTTCGTTACGAAGAGTTGTCTACACAGAATGAAAACAGCCCATGGTAACACTTTAGAGACCTCCTGCACTCCTTTTTTCCTTCTTTTTCTTAAGGACTCTCTCAAATATGTACAAAGTGGACTCACTGTTCCGCTTCAGCCCTTGTTACTACCTGCCTGGTTTGTCCCCTCCATCCACTTCCTCCTTCCACTAATGCGTCGTGAAGCAAATCGCAGACATCCCCCCTCCACACACCTCACTGGATCTCCAGACCATGAGAACTCTTTGTAACACAACCAGAGGACCATTCTCACACCTTTTTAAAAAATTCCTTCATATGAAATAACTGATCTGAGTTCTCCCGTCACCTTGTGAATTTTTCTGTGGCACAGAATCCAAGCAGGAGCCAGCCACACATCCGGTCGCTCTGTCTCTGGCTCCCGTCCGTCTTTCCCTTGCGGTTTACTTGTTGCCGGAACCGGGCCACTTGCCCCAGGGAGTCCCCTGCATTCGGTGTTTTGCAGACTGTACCCCATGGTCTCATTTGACATATTCTGCTGTCCCCCGTGCTTGCCCGCAAACTCGTATTAACAGTCAGATTCGACATGATGTTGGTTAGTTTTGATTTTTGTAAGAATACTTAGCAGGTGGTGCTGTGCTCTTCCTGTTGATGACCGGTGTCTCTGCAAGCTAAGATGCGTCAGTGGGCGTCTGATTTAGCCATCCTGAGTTCCTTGCCCTGACCCACTAACTCATGATTGAATATAAGCACAGGTCACAGTGACAAAGTTCCTGTGATCCTGATTGCTGTTGTCTCAGCTCTGGGGGAATCTCACTCACGCCATAGTTGTGCTAGCAATAGGCAGGCCCCCCAGGTGTGGTTTATTCATAACAAGGTGGGAGGGGTGGGGAAGCTAGTTGCCACGTTGTTTGCCCAACCCCTAAAGGAAATACATTTTGGGCGCCTGGGTGGCTCAGTTGGTTAAGCAACTGCCTTCGGCTCAGGTCATGATCCTGGAGTCCCTGGATCGAGTCCCGCATTGGGCTCCCTGCTCAGCAAGGAGCCTGCTTCTCCCTCTAACCCTCCCCCCTCTCATGTACTCTCTCTCATTCTCGCTCTCTCAAATAAATAAATAAATCTTAAAAAAAAAATATTTAAAGGAAATACATTTTAATAAACCTTACTCTAGTTTCTGGTATAGTGGTTTTAAGTGAGAAACTAGCACAAAGAATCAAAATGCACTGTAATAAAATTGTTGATATGAGAAAGGTGTTTGGTAACTTGGAAGTCAGTATCTATGTATCTATGTACCTTTAAAGATACACTCTCACTGTGAATGCACTAAACTTCAGTACGTCAAGAGGGATTTGTTTGCGACTTTTTAATCATCTTTTGGTGTATTGAAATTACATTGATCCCCAATGTATGTACTTCTTTACATTCACCTAGTTTGTTCTTCTTTGATATTCCAAAAGATTTTTCCTAATATCTCCCAGTGAAGTGTTAACACAGACCATTGGTACCATGCGCCAAGACTCAAGGATTCTGTTTGTTCTCCAGGGGTTTGGAAACTCCAAGAATGTACACTTACCTGATTTTTGAGATCCCTTATGTCACTCAGCAATTATTGTATGATACCGAGGATCTACCCAGGAGCTAGAAGGCTGTATGTGACTCATGTCTTGGTCGGAGGTAGTATAGGGCTTGAAAATGAGTCCAAACAAGGCTAACCAAGGTGATGTCACTTAAAACAAGGCAAACACTGCCCAGTTAATGAAAACTGTAACCAGGTGGGAAAGAGATAGGGCTATAGCCAAGTTTGACCTCTTGGCAGGAACCTTAAAAGGGTGTCTTTGCAAAAATATCCCAAAGCTAAATATCCCAAAGCTCTCCCAGTTTCCCCAGGGCCAGTTGTATGGGACTTAAGCAAATCCTGCATGTTTTGTAAGATTTGCAATTTCGTTTTGTAAGAGCAATGCAAATGTTGGAATGCAGAGTGAGATGCTAGTTTTAGGCAGAGAGAAGCACACAGAGGGAGTTCATTTTATAAATGACCACCTTATTAGTTTTTTGTTGTAATGACATGTACTTCCTTACACTACTCAGAGAACGAGGACACACCACCACTACCACCTGCCCCATAAATGGTAAAACTATATAACCTATACATGTTTATTTTGTACCACAAGGAAGTGTATGCTTAAAAAAGACATTTGCGGGGGCACCTGGGTGGCTCAGTCATTAAGCGTCTGCCTTTGGCTCAGGTCACGATCTCAGGGTCCTGGGATCGAGCTCCTCATCGGGCTCCCTGCTCAGTGGGGAGTCTGCTTCTCCCTCCTCTTACCCCCCTACACCACACCCCCCCCCCGTTTGTGCTTGGTCTCTGCTCGCTCTCAAACAAATAAATAAAATCGTAAAAAAAAAGACATTTGTGGGTAAGAGAATGAAAACGTTTGTGGTATTATTGTCCCTGCTCTCGTGGCAGTTCTGGACGCTAAGAAGGGAAATGCGAGAACTCTAAGATGTTTGTGCTGTTTTGTCCCCTAGGAGGTTTCAGTCAAGAAGAACTTCTAAAAATATGGAAAGGGCTCTTCTATTGCATGTGGGTGCAGGATGAACCCCTCCTACAGGTAACATACAGTTCCCTTTGTCATATGACTGGGGTTTTTTGGCCCAGATGGATAAAAGGGCTTGCTCGTTTTCTGCTGGGTCAGTCTCCTGTGCACGTAAACACATTGTGAAGTCACTGCTCAGGACTCAGTTGCCTACCTCTTGTCCATCTAGAGAGGGACACAGTGGCCAAGCAGTGAGGTTATCTTTTCAAATAATGAAGAATATGCATGAAATGGAGATTTCCTATGTCTCTGTCACAGTTTCATAGGTTGGTTCTGTGGAAGATTTTAACATATTTTAAAGTTCCTGTTTCATCTGTTATTATTGGTGGTCAGTCGTGGCACGGCACTGGTCTAAGAGCCTGTGAGCACTGGGCACCGAGCCCACCTCTGCCATGCGTTGAGTGGGTGCCGGGACTGGGCAGCCACCTTGCCAGAGGTCAAGATCTTTGTAGAGCAAGCAGTGGACCTGCCCCTGACACCCCAGCCTTAAAGTCAAGTGGAGACTTGGCACAGATATGCATGTGCTTTTGGACCCATCTGCCAAGTACACTGAGCCCCACCACCAGAACCATTTCAGAAAGTGACTCTAACTGTTGACAGAGCTTCACTGTATGCCAAAGAGCAGACCCGCTTTTGTCGAGTGGAGGGTAAGCCTTGAGGAACGCTGCTTAAAGCCTGCAATATGTAAAACGTCGTAGACTTGACTTGTCTGGATTTTAGTGTGCGACTTTACCACTCTCCCCAAGCCATGTAATAGCAGGCTTTGATTTATTGCTTTGACTCCACTGAACATATTTTGAGTAGGACAGCAGGGCAAAATATTTTTAAGTTACATTCAGAAGTAACAACCAACAGCTTTAGTGGAGGAAGAAAACAGATGAACAGGAGCATCATTTTCCAGTCTGGGAGTTCATTTAAAATGGGTGAGGAAGACGTGAGCCCAGATGAAGTGCAGGTCATACTGAGGAGGACTGTTCTTATGTCACTCGTGAGCAGGATTCTTTTGTGGACACTCCCCAGGGCGGTCTCTTCCTAGACCCGGACCACCAAATTCTCCCCATCAGTGAGCTTGCTGCGTTGTAGCAGGACTTGACTTCACGTTGCCCTTTTGCCCTGGACAGAGCCTGGATGGGTGCTGTTAACCTTCGCTTCCTGCCCCCCTGCCCATTGCAGCCTGCCTGCGAGCAAGCTGAGGCCAGGACTGTGTTCCCCACGCACCCCTGAGGAGTGACAGTCCCCGTGTCTAACTACCAGGGATCCCCTTGCTTGCATCAGTGTGCCATAATTTGGGAGCTTAGGATAGACTCTCCATTCAGTGATAGATTTTTTGACAGCGAGTTTCCCTCCCTAGGTCATTTGAACTGAAACTAGAGATACTTTTCTAAACATGCAGCGTGATCCTTAGACGCATGTTATGTTGGCATAGCGGTCCCCTGAGATTGGGAACTGCAATTGGGTAAAACTGAAACAGTGACGTCACAGGAGGCCCAGACGCCGGCAGGTGTCGTGTCCCCGTGCCGCCGCGCAGTAACCCCGCTGTCTCTCCCCGACCCCGCCTTTGCAGGAGGAGCTAGCGGACACTATTTCCCAACTCGTCCACGTTGTTAACAACTCAGAGGCCCGTAAGTCCTGATGTTTTCATGACTTTCAAAACTTCCTCATTCATCGGCTTGGGTAACTTGCCTAGGAAACTAAGCGCCATTGTTTCTCCTTCCTCGAGGGTTTCCTTTTTCCAGGGGGCTTGTTGAACAAGCACCTGGGGCCACCAGTGTGCACCTGGCGGGCGACAGACCTTCCCGGTGGAAAAGCCGTGACCCCAAAAGAGGGCCGATAAAAGAGGCATCTCGTGCAGTATTGCGTGACCTCTCCAAAAGATTTAAAAAAAAAATTTTTTTTTTTTTTTAAGAAATGAAACTCTCCAGAGTCTGCACATTCTGGGTTGCTGTAACGCTCTCAGAGGCTGTGCATGCATGGGCCAGGGCTTGCTGGAACCTCTGGCGGCCAGGCTGTCCTCCTGAAAACTGGAGCCATGTGAGGTCATCACTGGTAATAAACCAGAAAGTAAGCCCTCTTTACCAAAAAGAACAAAGGGAGAAAATGAATGCATTATTCCCGAGACATTCAGGCTTTGATTCCTGACGAAGGAAGAGAAAGCAGAATTGGTTGTTGGTTCTGCTTAGCGCTCCTCAGGGCTGAGCCTTAGTAACCGCAGTGGCTCTGTGTTTCAGCCGGGCCCCAGCCCACTCATAATGAGCAGAATTCTACACGTGGAGTATCTTCTAGGTTTCACATACCAAGAAAGAATTATGCAAAAAGAAGTAAAAACAAACAGAAAAATTCGACAGCTATTTTTGGATGGAAAAGTGGTAGATTCATGGCTCAGAAGAGAAAAATAGAACATTTTGTTAGTGCTCAACCAGCTGACACAGAACATGAAACAAAAAGCTGAGTTTCTACGTGGATCATCCAAGTGTTCATCAGAATTAATGGCTCTGGATTGATTGTTAGGTGTAGGTGGGCAGAAAGGGCCTGTAGACATGGCTCAGAGAATTTTTGATTTTAATAGAAACAAGGCTTTGCGGTGGATAAAGAAAAACACTCCATAGAGCATTGTAGTTGAACATCAAGATGTCATCAGCCATTTGTGGAAATGGAAAATAAATATTTAGCAAGTTTAATTATTGACCAAATTTTCTAGCTGCCAAAAAAATTCTTGAAAAGGTACAAAATAATCCTAGTTTGTTTCCCTTTGTTACTTTCTTGCTTTATGCTAATACGTGAACCTGACAAGCAAGCATTCAAAGCCTTTTGTTTGCTGCAGAACACCTGTTCATTCAAACCTTTTGGCAAACGATGAATCGGGAGTGGAAGGGGATAGACCGGCTGCGCTTGGGCAAATACTGTATGGTAAGATCGGAGCGCCTTTCCCCCCCCTTTTGCTTCCAAAGCCTGTGAAGGGCAGCATGTTGAGCTTCTTCAGAACAGTGGGAAGTCTTTGTGAAGCAGAGCAAGCTCCAGGCTTAGTGTGGCGAGAGGTGATGTGATCAGGGGACAGCATTTGCATGTGTGCTCAAAGGCTCTGTTTTCTCTTTCAGCTGTTGGTGAGTTTGGGGATCCTTAGTTAACATTTTCTGATGAAAGTTCACTGTGATGACAGTGACTGTATTTTCACTTTATAGATGCGGGTGTACCAGTTCCATCGGTCTCTTCATTCTGCTAACTGATGGACATTTCTTACTTTCCCTTTTGTAACAAAAGTTTTCTCTCTCTAGCTGATCCGTCTGGTCCTGAGGCAGTCCTTTGAAGTTCTGAAGAGACATGGCTGGGAAGAAAGGTTGGTAAAGTATTAGGACAAGCATTTAGCGGCTTTAAAACTTTTAAAGCAATAGCGTGTTTTTCAAGCATTTGAATTAGCGAGCTGGGATGAGTTGCCTGATCTCTGCCTTCCACTCTGCTGATTTCCTGTGAGAAGCAGAACCTCCTTATGCATCAAGAACTCAAAGCCGGGTAGAGGCTCCTGAAGGACTTGAGCCCACGTGCAGTGTTTTATACCCATCCCGGGGGTTGCTTTTCTCCTTGTGAACCGCGCTCAGCCTTGCGCTGTTTGTTATGCGGCATAGCACGAGAACGAACAGGACTATTTTCTTTCGGGGAAGAGAGAAGCGTTGGCATGCTGTAGTTAACAGAAACGTGTGTGTTGTTTTCTTCAGCCGAATCAAGCTCTTCCTCGATGTCTTGATGAAAGAAATCCTGCATCCTGAGAGCCAGTCTCCGAATGGAGTCAAGTTCCACTTCATAGATATTTATCTGGATGAACTGTCCAAAGTGGGAGGGAAAGAGGTAAGAAGCAGTGAGACACCGGGCCGGCGGTGTCGTGAGACCGCAGCTGACTGGACCAGGACTCTGGCTGTCCTCGTGGTCCCCGGGCTGTGGAGGAAACACTGCGCTCAGCAACAGGATCAGCATAATGGGCTCCAGCTGTCTTCTGACAAATCCTTCCCCATCTGGGACTCTGGCCTAAGCAGCGAATGGGACCTGTGAACAAAGATTGTGCGCTAAGGGTGTTCTTGGAAGTCTTACTTACAAACAGTTGAAAGCAACTAACGTAGTCCAATAATAACACAGGGACGTGGTCACGGTGTTGATTTTTTAAAAAGCAGTAGGGAAGAAAAGCAGCAGATAAAGCTTTGCTCATGGATGCCTTTCTCAAGTGTGTCTTTACCCATAAGTACACAGTGCGGGAAAGGAGACATTTTAGCTTGCATGTGATTATCTTAATTTGGCACTATATATAGGCAGTTTTTGTTTTTTTATTTTTACACTTTTTTTTTTTACAGGTGTTCTGCAACGAACACTTTTTTTTTAATTGAAAGGAAGTAGAAATACTACATCTTTAAAAATTGGTTCATCTTACAGTTTCTGACAACATCTGTGTAGAACCTGTCTGCAGAGCAGGAAACGCAGAACAGCATGGGTTGGTGGGCTGGTTTTCTCTGGTCATTGCACTTTGATGCCCAGGTGGCCGGAAGATGGCCATGACCTTTAGCCTGGCTCCGAGCACCTGGGCGGTTCACACAGAGTGCATTTTGGGTATTGAACTGAAGTGTTTTCCTGATCTAACCTATGTGAAAAATGCGAATGGCTCCTTTTTCTAGGACATATCAGAAAAATCATTTCTATTCTGTTTCTAAATTTCAGCTTTTGGCAGATCAGAATCTCAAGTTTATTGATCCATTCTGCAAAATTGCTGCCAAGACTAAGGAGTGAGTCCCATGTTTGTTTTTGCTGCTTCATTTGGTACTTAATTGTGGGTAATGGTGGGGAAATTGTTGGGAGGCTCAACGCAAGATACCTGTGATGGTTTGTCCAAAGCCCAGAACAGCTGAGCTCTGAATTTCCGTTAGCCAGATGTGTGACGCTTTGAGTCACACCTGGGCTCCGCTGGCTTGACCCCAGACATTCCAGGAGTCACACCCTCCACAGCCACAGTTCCGGCTGCCTTCATCACATGGCTGTCTGCTGGCCTGCACCGCTGTGGCTGGCTGGCGGGCGATGGGTCATGGCAGGCGCTCAGGAGGCTGGAGGGGGCCGCGCGTGATGCACCCCACCACACCCGCTAAATGAGTGGCCATCTGTTGTCATCACCTTCTCTCTGCTATGCTTCCACCCTCAGCCAGACATTGGTGCAGACGATAACGAGGGGTGTTCTTGAAGTCATTGTAGACCAGTCTCCTTTCGGACCCGAAGAGACCCTAGAACAGAAAACTCAAGGGGGTGAGAGCGAGTTCTCCGAAGAAGAGATGCCTGAAAACAAGACGGCGTGGAGAAAACCAGTCCGTAAAAAGAAGCCGGGTGAGACGGTTCCCTTGAACGGTCTGTTTAGATAAAGTTTTCATCAACTGAACACCTTTTAATGCATTTGTTGGAGTCTCACTGATACAACCTAAGAGTTCGTCAAAGGAGGCCCCACTGTGGGCCCGCCCTGGGAAGGGAGGCCGAGGTGCACTGACGTGTGGCCCTGTGCCCGGGAACCCCCCCCACGCCTGCCGTACCCACACCACCTCCCAGCGTCACACGAATCCCCCCAGGGTTTCATGTTGTCGTTGCTCTTGCTTTGGCTTTTGTTTGTTTCTATTGTTTTGGGGTTTTTCATGTTTAAACATCCTAAGAACTTGCTTCTGCAAGAGGGTCCTGGGCGCTCACGCTGCAAAGCGCATCTGTTTCCATAGCTCTGCCTCCTCTCCTCCAGGTGCCCCCGGGGCTCGTTTAACCCTGTGGCTGCCGCCGCTGAGCCAGTCCTAGTCCGCAGGGGCCGCCTATGGAGCCCGCATTTCAAGCTGCGGACCCCTCCGACCCTGGGGGTGCTTTACGGCATCTCAGGGCACAGCATTAGGTAAACAGTGTGGTCAGGGTATACCCGGGCGCTTGAAATGTTACATAGACATGAAAAAGCCGAGATTTCAAAAACTAACAGCCAGAGGAAATTTAAACATTTTTTTAATAACAGGACACAAGACTCTATGTACAAGGAGCCTGGTTTGGTATGTGCCCTTAAAAATCTGGAAGGATACCAGAATGTCAATCGGTGGCCATGCGTGGCAGAGTTATGGGTGACTTCTGCTTTCTTTGTACTTTTGTGTGTTGTTTCAAATTTTCTACAGCGATTATGTATTATTTTTTAATCAGAAAAACAATCTTTTAAAAAGAAAGGAGAACTTTAATCTTAAATTCGGCGTGGGTGACGGGATTAACCAGCTGACCTTGAGCAGGTGTCGTGTGGTCGTGGGGGCTGTCCCCTGCTCCTCCCGCACGCCAGGTCTGTGTGTGAGCTGTTCACCCTCTCCCGGCTCCGTGTGTCTCGCGTGTTGCCCAGGATCTGCGCAGGGCCCTGCTCCGTCTCCTCCAGGCTGTGCCCGGAGGCCCCGCCACTAACAAGCTGCTAGGGTTTGGCGAGTTATGAGTTTTCTCAGTGATTTCTATCTGCTGCTTCGTGGGAGTTGGTGCTCTTTGAATTCTTTTTTAAACGTTAAGAGTTGTATTAGTATTAATTTGCGTCTGATGAGGCATCCCCATGAGAAGTTAGTGTGTTACCTGTATAAGTTTTTACCACAGCCTCAAATTTGCCTGAAGCCGGGGGCAGACTCCTGAGTGCACTGTGTTCCCGCTTGCTGGGCCTCCAGCCTAGGGGCTCCTGTGCCCCGCTGCCAGGGTCAACAGGGAGACGGCGCGCGCCGGAGGGCACCGAGGGCAGCAGAGGTTTGGTCTGTGACGTCATTCAAAGGCCAAATGTGTGATTTCTCTGGGACTTCCTTGAACAAGACTTCTGTGGGAGATGACGAGTGTGTGTGCAGGGTTTTCTCTCTGAAGAGATAGAGAGCATGGTTCCTCTGCAAGGGGTCATTGCTGTGTCTTTGAAGAGCTCTGTCTCTGGGTGTGTTTTGATAGCGCTGGGCAAGCACCACTCCAGAAAGGACGGGGTCCACGACGACGGGGAGAGAGGCGGTGGGCGCCTGGAGGACGCTGGGCCCCTGCTCCAGGTTGGTAGAACGTAGACTGCCTGTGCAGTGGCCTGGCTAAGTGGGAATTAGGGTCAGAGCTCATTATCCCCAAGGCCCGCGGATACAGTCGTCCTTAATCCCTTCGCTCGCTGATGTCACCCTCACGATGAGCTTACTGGAGACAGATTTAAACGGGACAGAATTCTGAAAGATGTCAGTCTTCACTCTGGCTTGAACCGTAGGTTCCACTCCCTACAACAAAGGCTGCTCCGTGCTTTTGCAATAAAGGTTACTGTGTTACCGAGCGCAAGTTGGACGTCTAGGTTAAATTTACGAGGAAGCACACCCAGACAAGTTTTATGTGGTGTGTCTTACCACAATTTTTTTTAAAGAAAGAATAAATAGAACAGATGAAGAATAGCGTCCCCCAAGAATAAGTAGAAGAGATTTTCTCAAAGATAGCACTTAACCTTTTGGTCTCTGAGTGTTAGCACTCAGCTGTTTACCGTCCTGCTGAGCACACCCAGAGCCCCACATTGCTGGTTTCTGCGAGCAGTGGAAGTGACTTTCTAAGGCAGAGTGTGGTTTGCCTGCGGGCTCATGTTTTGTTGCTTTTCTCGCACAGTTCGACTACAAGGCTGTTGCTGACCGACTCCTGGAAATCACCAACAAGAAGAACATCCCTCCCTTCAACAGGAAGCGTCTCTCCAAACTCATCAAAAAGTAAGTGACCGGGGGGCGCAGTCTGCGGACTCTCACCCACGTTTGCGCATGCTCACCTCTGCCCTGCCTTCGTCACGTCTAGCCGTAGCATGCAGCGTGCTCACGTCAGCGGAAGGGTTTCAGGGAAGAGCCACTCCCCTGCCCACACATGTCCGCTCCACGTGCCCCTGCACTCGAGTCCTGTAGCCACCACCTCATGGTGTGAAGGGAAGTCAGTTGGTAATGGCCAGTGTTAGCAGAGCCCGAAATTGCGGCGTAAGTGTGCCGCTTAGGTCTGGTCGGGGTCCCTCACCTCCCATCACGGTGATGCCCGAGTGTGGGCATACTGGTAATTCGGCACGGAACAGCACCGTGGCTTCTCGTGGGTGGCGACAGGGAACAGCCGAGGTGGACTGCCACTGTGTGAGCAGGTGCTCTCCTGAGCCCTGGACACGAATGAGTTCACGTTAAGCAAAGCCCTGTAGGACGGCTTCTGTAATTTCCCCACCTCACAGATAGCTCAGCCGGGGCACAGGGCTTGCCCGACGTCCCAGCTGACAGGTGGCGGAGCTGGACTCAGACCCACTGTCTGTGCCCCCAGAGCTCTGCCCCCCCGCCCAGCACACGGCTCCCGCACTTCCTTTTTGTTCTAACACCAGCACTGCGTGGAGCATTCTCTCTACCGGATGAACAGAGAGGACAGTGGGGCATAAGCAGAGATGGAAGCTGCTTCAGTCTTGAGAAAGAATTTTTAGTTTCTTCTGTTCTGTGTGAATGAACCAAGATAGAGTCTCTTGATCGCCGTGCCCTTGGGGGCAATTTGTCCTTCACTTCAGGCCTTTGCATCACACCACCTTTAGCCTCCCCTTCTAGAAGGAAAAGAAAGTGAACTAACGCCCAAATAGCACAGCTTAAACATTGTGTGTGTGTGTTTACAGAAGACAGAAGGAAGGGCTTTCTTCAGGGACTTTTGTTCTTTGTTTCAGGTTTCAGGATCTCTCCGAAGGTGAGGAGGTCCGAGGATTACAGCGGGTGATGTTACATGGATGTGGCCCCACTGAAGCACTTAGAGCAAATACTAAAAAACAGTAAAAAGAGAGTTGATCTCTTCAGGCTCCCTCTCCTTTGCTGCCATGGTCACTTGTGCCCCTGGGGAAAAGCTGTTGTCCGTGGTGGTGACACGTGAGCGGGGGCGGGCGCGGCTGAGCCCCAGGGGCTGCGCCATCAGGGTGCCCCCCCACGGATGCAGTTCCCACATCCGCAGCAGGTCTGGGCTGGGGAGGTCATGAGAGCAGGCATGAGGACACAGAAGTCAGGGTGGATAATCTTCCTGCGTGAGGTGGGGACAGAGTCGTGGTCTCAGGAAGCTGACGAGACGGGGCTCTGCTGTCCGGCAGGTGGTGTATCTCCACTCAGTTTTGCCGAGGCTGTTTCTGCTGATGAAGATGACCGAACCCTCAACCAAGGAAGGCATAAGAAAAAAGGAAATAAACTTGTAGAGGAAAAGGAGCTGGAGAAAGAGAAAGGTGAGCCGCGAAGCTCAACGTGGCGAGGGAGGAGGAGGAGGAGGAGGGCGCAGACAGCCCTCGGGGAGCAGGAGGGCTGGGCCCGGGGCTTCCTGGGTCAGGGCAGAGCCGCAGCTTAAGCTCGTGCTGGCTGAAGAGGAAAGATCTGAGTGTGTGTGATTTTCACGGCCTCCCCGAACGGAAAGCCCATGGTTCCTCCTGGGGGCGCCTCCAGGGGCAGCGGGCGAGGGTGTCGAGAACCCTAGACACACGCATGCTCGGAGCCAGTGCTTCATGCCCGCCCTGGACCTGTGGTTCTCATGGGCCTGAACATGACTGCGGTTCCGTCTCTGGGAACCGGCACCCGGAGGGTCTGGCCCCAGCTGGGCCAGGGCAAGCATGGCGCCCGACAACCAAGCCCGCGGCCACCCCCATCCCAAACACTTGTTCACAGGCTTGGGTGTCTTTCTAGGAAACAGGTTCTTTCTTGCTGAGGAAGAGGGGAGCGAAGCCAGCGTTCAGAAGAGAAAAAGGAAGAAAAAGAAGAAGAACCACCTCCAGCCTGAACATTTAGGGTCGGGGACGGAAGCCATGCCCCCAGAACAGAATGGGGGTGGCGAGCCAGGGGCTGGCGCGGGCCGAGCCCCGAAGACACCGGCGGTGGAGCCAGGGACAGCGGCCGCCCCTGGCCCCCAGGAGCAGAGTGGCGCGGAGACCGCCGCAGCGCTCAGCAGGAGGAAGCGGCCCCGGAAGAGGAGCCCCGGGGTGCAGGGCGGGAGCGAGGAGTCTGCGTCACCACCACCTCTGGAGGACACGGCCCCCGGTGGCCCCGGCAGCGCCCATGCTCAGGACCCGGCTCCGCGAGCTTCCCTGGCCAGCAGGGCCCCGGTCCCGAAGAGGAAGCGGAAACTCGGAGCCCTCCCGGTCAACGGCAGCGGCACCCCCGCACTGGCCTGGCCCCCGCCCCCGGGCGGGAGGCTGAAGAAAAAGAAGGGGGAGCCCGGCAGCCTCGACCTGTACAGCCCGTCCAGTCAGAAAGCTGCCATCTTGAAAAAGAGGAAGAGGATGAAGGAGATGTCTAAGTCAGTAGCGTGCGGCCGCGTGTTGGAGTCCGAGGCCATGCTCGTCCAGGCTCTGGTAAGGCAGCCGGCCCCGATTTACGGGGGCAGGGGCGAGGGGACAGGCCAGAGCTCCGGACCAAGGAGCAGGCCTGGTTTGTGACAGCCTCGACCAACGGGGAAATACACGGGCGCCTCTTGCTGGCAGCCGAGACCGTCGCCCTGGACCCCCCGCCCGACAGGCTGCTCCCTCGGAGGCTGCAGAAGGGCCAGCGCCAAGCCGGCAGGAGTGTCCCCCTGGCCAAGCGCACTGCTGCCACTTCCATGGGCGGTCGGGCATGTCCGTCAAACCCTGCTCCCTGTTCCTTCAAGTCCCAGCCAACCTTTGGCCCTTTTCGGGCTAGTTCTCTTATCTTGCTTATTTTTTTAACGGAAAGCCTGTCTGTGCTTACACGTCTAGAGCCGGTGTAAACGAGGGGCCGGGCTCTGGATCTGCTTTCCACGTCCCCCCGTGGCCCTGCAGTGCGTCTGTCCCACCTTGTCGTGAGGCAGGAGCAGTTACAAAACCGACCACGGGGCTGCCGGTATTTACTCCCGGCCCTTCCCCAACAGGCTTGCTGGCCGCGTCCAGCACACGCGTGGGCAGGCACTGGTGTGCGGCGCTCGGGGCCGAGGCCCTGGGTAACGGGCACCCGTGTGTGCTTGGCTAAGTGCTGATCCCAGGCTGATGGTGTCTCTGACGGGTTAGGTGAGTCCGTTTGTGGTCAGCAGAAGTCTCAGCTGGGGAAACACGGAACTCTCCACTGGGCTCCGGGGAGCCTGTTCTCGCCTTAGAATATCAGGAAAATCTCCGAGTCTCATTTCTCAGGTCCCGGCAATCTTCCCTGGTGTTGGAACTATTGCTAAGTGAGCCACAGGGTCAAGAAAGGTTTTCCTCTGAGAACGGGTCCTGTGTCCCTGACGTGGGGCGGAGGTGCTCGAGAGAGGCCCCCGGGTCTGCCCCTCACTTGCGGCACCGTGGGGTCTGCTAAGGGAAGGCAGCAGTTTCCAAGCTAGGAATGCCAAGACCTGGCGGAAACCAGCAACGTGATGTCAGCCACGTTGGGCTCCAGACCCCCAGGGACCTCAGGCTAGAGCAGGGCCCTCGCCAGGGGTGGCAGCCGGTCGTAACACACCCAGGGAGGGTGATCTGCCTGTAACCGACCTGCAGGTCCTAACTGGGGCCTCGGGCTTGCTCTTCCGTACCAGGCTTTTCAGTGGACAGTGAGGTCTTTGATCAGAAATGAGAAAATGAGTTACTCTGTAACAGGTGGTCTTTGAAAGGCAGTAGTCTTCCCGAACAGGGGAGCTAAGGTGGAAGATAAAGATGGGTTCTTGTGGCTGAACAGCTAGGAAACCTTTGGTCCTGTGTGCCTGGAGTCCGCACCTGCCGAGTCCAAGAGCTGTGTGTCGTCCGGTGCAGGAAGCGCTGGGCGTGGGGTGTCCGAGCTGGAGACGCTTCATCCTGTGGCCCCACGTTCCCTCCTTGCGCGCGGGCGTGACCTCTCCTCTCGCCCCTCCCTCACGCAGGGAGGCGGGGGTGCTTTCAGCCCCTTGAAGAAGCAGCAGCTGAGGGCAGAGAACGACTTCGTGAGGTTCGACACCCCCTTCTTACCAAAGCCGCTGTTCTTCAGAAAAGCCAAGGGCAGCGCCACTCCAGCCTCTGCGCCCCGTGCCGTGCAGGTACGTGAGCTCAGCCCCATCCGACTGCCCCCAACCTCCCCGTGGCCACACAGCCCATTCCTGCCTGAGAGCCACGCACCCGGGCACTGTGTGCTGGGCCTCGGGCCCCACTGCCGCCCTCCTGAGCCTGGGTCTGCCATGCTGGGGGTCCCCAGGCCGGGGGTGGAGCTGGGGCTCTGGCCTCCGCCTGGTAGCGTGAGCTTGTCTGTCAGTGGTCTGGGATGGCCTGAGGGAGGGCCCTTCCTGACGGAGGGTTTCCCGGGGACAGCGCAGTCTGAACGCCTCCACCACTGCTGTCTCCCTCCTTTTGTCATTCTCCCTTCGCAGCGAGACAAGACGCCATCCAGTTCCAAGAAAGTCACCTTCGGGCTGAACAGAAACATGACTGCAGGTGAGTGTGGGGCACACAGGCCCTGACGTGTTCCCGAGTCAGAAGTCCAGCCCCCGAATGGTTAGTGGGTGGCCAGGGTTGGGTGCGGAGGGTTTTCTCAGGGCCTCTGGAAGGAGCCTGCCTGGCAGAAGATGCGTTGAAAAGCCATCTCCTCGAGCCTGCCGACGCAGAGCACTTGGGGCCCTCCTGGCCTGGGGACGACGGACAGTCCCCCAGCCATGGCTGCCTCTGCTAACATTGGGAGCCATGTGCCCAGAGGGAGGCAGAAAGAGGGATGTTCTTGTCTGGTTGCTTTTAGTACTGGTGCCGTTCGCTTGTTCTGTTTTATAAACGGAAACCAAACTCTCTCAAAGCATGCAGTGCATTTAAGACCTGACTGTTCATAGGGCTCACAAGTAAATATGTGCGTGTGTGCACATGCGTGTGTATCAGGAGGGGAGGGACCATCCGGGGGGGCCTGAGGTAGGTGCTCCTGGGCTTTCGAGGCCTTGTTTCGGGAGCTGGAGACAGTGAGAGGAGCAGATCAGCTGGAAGGAAAGGCTCTTCCCGTGGCCACTGGAGCCTCAGGTTCATCCGTGTTCCCTGAGCGCCCATGACCCCCCGAGGCCCTCCTTTCAGAACCTGACCCACCTGGTGCCCCCTCCCATGCCGTCCGCGGACATTGGTTCATTTGTTCCTGTGAAGCAGGATGCTGACTCCATTTCCTCCGAAAGCTCCGGGCCCGCTCTCTGCAGGGCCTCGTGACAGGCACTGCCCTGCTGGGGTGCACGGCCCGGCTCCCGTGGGGGCTGCCGGCAGTGTGAACTGGACACTGCTTGGCTGGGTGGGCAGGTCGGAAGTGCTACTCCATTAACGTGTGGCCTTGCTTTCATCCGGGGCAGAATTCAAGAAGACAGACAAGAGCATCCTGGTCAGTCCCACCGGCCCCTCCCGAGTGGCCTTCAACCCTGAGCAGAGACCCCTCCATGGAGTGCTAAAGACCCCCACGAGCTCACCCACCAGCACCCCCCTGGGGACCAAGACGCTGCTGACCGCCACGCCAAAGAGAAGGCCGACGGCTATGGACTTCTTCTAGGGTAGTAGCAGGGTCCTTTTAAAGACTGTGTTTGTACAGATAGTCTATAAATTATAACTTTAAAAAGGTGCGGCCTTTTTTATTGTTTTATAAATCCCCGTAAATTGTATAAACGAGGTTCTGAGCGGGAGCTGCTGCTTCTCCATCCCTTCTGCGGGGGCTGTGGGCGTCTGGCTGAAGGTTTTGCTACAAACGCCGTTGGTGGGTGAGGTCTCCGGGGCCTCGGCGTTTGCGGGTGACTTCCGTGACCCCCACCAGGGTGGGAGCCGAGCACAGTGACCGTCCGTCACGTGGCACTGGTCTGTCGGCGCCGCGGGAGCCTGGAGGCGGGGGCCTCGCCCGCGGACGGCAGAGCTCAGGCACTCAGCACTGCGCCTGCGTGCGGGGCTGGCTGCTGGTGGCTTTCGGTCTCCACCAAGCACGCGGGGTCTTCCTCCCCCGTTCCCCGGATGTGTGTGCCGGGGAGACGCGCGTAACCGGTTCAGCACTACGGTGGTGGCTTCTTCCAGGACCTGCAGGTGGGGCGGGGGAGGAAGAGCCTCCACGCTCGGGTCGCTGCTTCCCTCCGCTGGGCCTTGTTTCCTTCCCTGTGTTCCTACCTCTCAGGCCAGCCCAAAGTGTCTTGACCGGTGAGCGCCCCTCGGCTCTCCTCCGGGACTGTGAGCGCGCTCCTTCCTCCGGGTCCTGTGCTCTGGTTGCTCCTCTTACCTTCTACGTAAGCCTTTGAGCCCCCCGAAGTGACTGGCCTTCCCAAAGGCAGCTTTCCCGACTCAGACGAAAATTCATTTCTTCAGAGGTGTGGCAAGTGTCTGAAAGCCTGAGATCCTGCTGGAAGGCAGAAATCAGCAGCCTTTAAGGATTGTTTGTGCATATTTATTTGTCCGTAGCTACCTTTTATCTGAAGTATTGAAGCTTGCACTTAAGATTTTTATAGACTTCTGATTTTAGTTCATGGCAAATGTCGGTGGCAGGCACTCAGGCTTCAGCTGGAGGAGCAGGGACGGGGCTTGGGGAAGCTGCGTCCATCCCTCGAGCCTGAGTGACGGACGGGAGGCAGATTCAGAAATCAGGTGGTCACCTAAGGAGAGCCAGTGGGCCCCAGCTCCTGTTTGAGTTTACGAAATAACAATCACAGAGCTCAAGAAGAGGTACAAAACTCGGGGGTCTGTAGTTTGGGCACAGGGTTGCTCAGTGCTGCCCTGGCCTGCTCTCTGCTCAGGGGACCTCGGGCCTTCTGGGAGTGAAAGCTGCCTCCCCCTTCCTGCCTCCGCCCCACGCAGGCCCCCAGCATTGCCTCAATGGGACGGGCCACCGCTTTGCATGACGAGGGAGGCCCCTTGGCTTGGCGGGACTGTGTTGATTTGACTTTGGTTTCTGCATCACGTCGTCAGGGTGGGGCTCTGTCGGCACATGGGCCGCCGCGGGGTCAGGTGGCCGGTGCACTGCGGAGGCCCGCTGAGAGGGAAGTATGAACCTTGTCCTTTGCCTGCTCTATAATAAAGTTTTGTCCTAATTAGTCCACGAGAGAAGACATCATTCACATGGAGCTGTCAGATAGTCCCTGTAACGAGAAGTCTTACGTCCAAGATGCTGTGGTGTTTGCATGGGGCTTTTGTGCTGCATTCGGTAAAAGGCTCAAAACCAAATCTGATCGTGGGAGATTAGATTGGAATATTCAAATATTTTTAACTTTTTTTTTTTTTAACTTTTTGTTTAAAAAAAAAAAGTGTCTCATTATCCTTGGCCAGATTATTTTTCTAACAGTTTATTTTAGCTTTAAAGATGGGTCATGCAGTCCAGCGGGGTTGAGATGTTTTAGCAAAGCATCCGAGGGCACAGTCGGGTGAACGCAGGGACCTCCCTTCATGCGCACACGGCGCCCGTCAGTTCCTCAGACGCCCCACAGAGCGTCCAGGAGATGGGCCTGCTGGTTGATGCCGCACCTCCGGACTCGGGTCCAGGAGGGACCTCGGACTCCATCCCTCCTCCTCTACATCTGTCCTCACTTACTCCATTTCGTGGGTAAGTTTAGTAGGTTTACTATGGCTTATTTTTAATGCCTAAATTTTGGCAACAAAAGAAGGAAGAAAACTTTTTTTTAATTCTCATTACACACACACACAACAAGAAAGTGTTGCACAAAGAAAATGTATTTAGAGTACCAGTTTTCTATTCAATGCATGTTATTTTCCTAGGCAGAGTTGCTAAGGGGACTTGGAAGTCCAAAACTGGCAATCATTTACATTAATGCTAGTGATCTTACAGTATTTTGTAAAACGGTCACCTTCCGCCCGACCCCATATGTCTGGTTAGTTTTGTACAATTTGGTATCACACTTTATAAACACAATCCTTTCTAATTCCTATTTACCTGAAAGCACAAAGGAGGGTCAGGGAGATCCGGAAGCGCTTGTTAGTGTTGGAAAGGACATGAAATGGAACCTGTCTTTGGATCTGTGTGTTTACCTGACTGCTGGCAAGAACTGCGTGTTTACGATCAGTCTGTACTCCTGTCTGCAGAGTGTGTCTGTCACATCAAAGCCAAGTCCAATAAACAAAACCTGTCTTTGCACTCACATTTGTACTTGACGTGGGCTGTCTGTGTGCGTGGAAGTACACCTCTGGGGAACCACGGAAAGGCAGGGAGTCGGCGGGTGCTGACATCAGCCCCACATGCCTGACAGCAAGGTTCTGCAGGCCCCTGTCCATCCTCCGCACACCCCCTACCTGGAGCCAGCGAGGGGCTGCTGGGCACGGCTCCTGGAGAGGTTCCCGCAGAAACACTGCTGCCGGGCCTGATGCTTCTGCTCCACGGGCCTCACGTCTGAGCGTGAGCAGAGAGGTGCCCGTGTCCCAGGTGGAGACACCCAGCTCCGTCCCAGAGACGTGGCTGCCACTAGGGTGGTGAGGCCGCAGTCCACCGGGCAACCGCCTACTGCCCTGCTTGGGGGACCAGCGACAGGCTCCATGGGTGCTCTTTACCTTCATGTGCACATGTTCCCGAACAAACTTCCTCAGCTGTGGTCTGGATCCCAGACCGGTTCCTCGGTGGGTGACTTAACCCCTAAAATAACAACGCAAATACCAGTAAGACCTGTCCCCACCGTTCGTCGTCCTGACCTGACCCCAACACCACACCCACGTCTCTTCATCCACTCCTCCGACAGCAGCCAGTTGGGTTTCGGGCTCCTGCTCTTCTAAAACGTAGCTCAGGTGTCAGCTGGGGCTTGCGTTCTACACCGTGGTGTGAACGCAAACTCCCAGAAGGGGGTCCAAGGCCACCCAGGCCTGATTGTCTGCCTCTGCCCAGTGCTTGTTCTCCCTTCACCCCAAAGGGGGGGCACAGGGCCTTCCGCCCACCCCCACCCTGTCCCAAGATGCTGCAGGCATCAGGGAGCAAACCTGTTCCCCAGGGCTTGGGGTCAGGAGTCCCATCATTCATCCACCACAGGCCTAAAACCGCACACATCAGGGTTTTTGGTTTTCGGTTTTTTAAGATTTATTTCAGAGAAGGGGAGAGAGTAAGCATGAGTCGGGGGAGGGGGAGAGGAAGAAGCAGACTCCCCGCTGAGCAGGGAGCCCACTGCGGGACTTGATCCCAGGACCCTGGGACCATGACCTGAGCTGAAGGCAGAGGCTTAACTGACTGAGGCACCCAGGCGCCCCTGCGCACATCAGTTTTCAGAGTGGTCCGTCACAGGCTTTCTCCCCGTTTCCATGTCCGGACTCAGCTCCCCGGGGGCAGCCACTCTTCCACACTCCATGATGGGCTCAGCTCTGTCCCCGTGTTTCCACTCGAGCTCACGTGTGTGCAGCAGAAAACTGTTGCCGTGGCAGGAGCCACCCTCCTTAGCAGGCAGGTTGCAAAGCAGCTGTCCCCCTCCACATCATGACAGGACACACCATCGGTTCCACAGTACCCCTCCATCAGCCGTGCTTGTTGAGCACCCGCCGTGTGTCAGGCCCTGCTCTGTGCTCTGTGCTCTGTGCTGCAGGGGCGACAGTCCGCAGGGTCCGGGCCCTGCCAGAGCGGACTAAAGGGGAAGACAGGTGAAGTCAGAGATCCCGGGAGGAGAGCGGGGAGCACGCCCGGGGCTGGTGCTGTCTCGTGAGGAATAATCCCCCCCCATACGTCTGGCCAGTCTTGTACAGTTTGGTACCAGACTTTACACTGTGTGATCCTTCTAAGTTTCTACTGAACTTAATGAAAGTACAGACAATCTGGAAGCGGTGCTGCTTGTACTAAGTGTTGGAAAGAACATTACACAGAATCCATGGTTTCATTTGTATATGTTTCTTCCTTCATGTACCTGACTCCGGCAAAGACTGTTCACGAGAAGGTAGCATTTGAACAGAGGCCCAAAGAGATTGACAAGTGAAGCCATATGGGTGTCTGGAGAAGATACTGCAGAAGGAGCAGCACATACAAAGGCCCTGCGGCAGGTACCTGTTCAGTGAATTCTAAGAACAGTAAGGAGGCAGGACTTCTGGAAAGGGAGTGTGAATTGCTAAGGGACCCGGTAGAGACCTCTGATAACGCTGGTCAGAATCAGCAACAACAACTATTCAGAGTCTCTGGAGATTGATCAAAGGGCTTACAACAAATTGAGAGGCATTTATTCAATAAAATCCACAGCAGCTGGGAAAGGACGGTAGGAGGGAGGCTGTGACCGCTGGGGGCTGCGGCCTCGGAAACCCTCGGCAGGCGGGCAGCCATCCCTGTGGGGCCAGAGGCTGGAGAGGGGCTGTGTGGGTGCTGGGGGATGCTCCTAGAGCCCGCACAGAGCGGACCGTGGCTTGGAGCACAGGCCTGCCTCCATCCCAGGGGTGTGGGAGCTCCCTGCCACCCCCACCAGACACCTTCTCGCCTGCCAGGCTCTGTGCTCACCTGTCACTGTGTCTAGTCTTCACGGCTTCCGGAAAGGAAATCCTCCCGAGTCCCTGTTTCCCGGCAAGGAAATCAGGCTTCAGCAGTCAGGGAGCCATGAGGGGGCCACGGGGCTGTGGGTTTGCCCCTCACAGCGTGGACCCCAGCCAGCACAGGGCACCACACAGAACTTGGGCCCCACCCAGACCCACCGAATCAGCCCTGAGGCTCACTGGGGCCAGGGGATTTGACGCACGCAGGGGGCAGAAGCGCGGGTCCAAGACCTGCAGCCTTGAGCAGGGGCCCTTGGCCCAGAGCGGGCGTCAGCAAATACCTGCCGAACTGAACTGAATCCAGTCGGAAAACCACACGAGCACAGGGCTCCTGCTTTGCTCTGTGTCCGCGAGCTCAGGACTGAGGGCGGCTGGTTTTCCGCAGCCCGTCCCATGTGTCTGGAGAAACGCCCCGGGGAGGTGCTGAGCCAGGCACCGTGGGTAACCCCAACAGGCATTGTCTGCCGGGTTCTGCCTCAAGCGCAGATCACCCCCTAACCTCAGTCTCTAGGCTGTGGATCTGCCTAGGACTCAGCGGTCAGTAAGTCCTGGGTTAGCCCGTCAGGTCCAGACACGTGGCTGGAGTGTGCAGCCCATGGACAGAACCTGGAATACACGTGATTTCACCAACGCCCCAACTAAGTACCACTTGTCTATGAATGAGACCTAAGCCCAGTTTTATTTAAAAAAAAAACCTGCGGGAGCCAGGTCTGAACACGGGGTCCGCACGCTCCGTAGTGACCCTACTGGGGGGCTGGCAAAGGCGGGAGGAGGCCCAGCGCCCACCCTGAACCACCCGCCACGGAGTGCCCACCTGCTCCCATCACCCCACGCTCGCTCCCTGAAAGGGGCCCCGGGTCTCTCTCCACGTGCGATTGCCGGGGAAGTGCCAGGCCCCGCGATGCAGGCAGCAACAGCCTGTTCAATGTGATTTCAGAAGCAAACGGAAGATCCTCTACCTCCAAAAATCTGGCTTCCACAATTAGATTCATCCCTTTCATTTGCACTTTTGACTTCCATAAAACTTGAGGGAGAAATGATACTGATTCATACCTAAAATTGTCTCCTGTGTTTTTTATTTGCCAATTTTCAAATAAATCATTAAAAAAAGAAGAAAGTCTCACGTCAGTCTGTGTCTTGAGCACCTGCCACATTCGTGTAAACGCACACAGGCGTGCCCAGAAAGAAGACCAGAAAGCTGTCTGCCCTCGGGACGTGGGACTGTGACCGGTTTCCATTTTCTTCCCTGTAATGTTTGTCTTCTTCCCAAGTTGTCTACGACATGAGTTTCTCTTGCAACCAGAGAACTGTGAGCGATCTTTACGCATCTCTGTGGGGCGCAGTAAGAAAAAGCGGTTGCCAGGAAGGTAACGGCAAGAATCTGGGTCAGCACACCGTGTCCGGTCAGACGGCGCAGGGAACTCCTACTATGAGAGCGAATTCCTTCGCTTTCCCTCCATTCTTTCTCTGTGAATAATTTGCCCCAACAGGCCCCTTGAGGGTCTAAAATTCCTGGCTGTTGGCCCAGATTTTGCTTCTTTTCCGAACTGAAGTATCACTAAGGAGAAAGAAGAAACATTTCCAGTAAAGCCTGGTCCGAAAGAGCAGGGGAGTCTCAAGGTTATTTCTTTGGGTCAGGAACGGTAAGCAGAGAGCCCCTCATGGGCTTAAGATGACTCTTATTACACATTTTCCTGAACTCTTGGGAGAAAACTCTCCAGATGGCCTGGAGCTGTTTCAGGGAGAGCACAGGGGTTGTCATGGTGACCAGCTTATTGACCCAACACTGCAAGGTGAGTCTCAAACCAGACCAGCGTGTTTGAGGATTAAAAAGTAGAACCACACCCACACAGGTCAGGAAAGAATCTAAGGGGATTCTCTAGTGTTCCTGACATTGACCCAAAGTGCTCTCAAGGTTCAAAAGATCTTGGCTCTTCCCAAGAGGAAAGTGAAAAAGATAATCCATCCAAATAAAGAACACCCTGGAACCCAGGCCTGAGGTTCAGTTGTTGCCTCTTTGTTTTTTTTAAGTTTTTGGGTTTTTTTAAGTAATTTCTACACCCAACGTGGGGTTTGAACTCACGACCCCGAGATCACACGTTCTTCCAACTGAGCCAGCCAGGAGCCCCGAGTTGTTGCTTCTTAAGAAAGACATTCTTGGGGCACCAGGGTGGCTTAGTCAGTTGAGCGTCAGACTTTTTTTTTTTTTTTTTAAGATTTTACTTATTTATTTGAGAGAGAGAGAGTGAGAGAGAGCAGGGGGAGGAGCAGAGGGAGAAGGAGAGAGAGAATCCCACTCACCACAGAGCCTGACATGTGGCTTGATACCAGGCGCCCTGAAGTCTGACTCTTGATCTTAGCTCAGGCCTTGATCTCAGGCGCATGAGTTCAAACTCCATGTTGGGCTCCAAGCTGGGCATGGAACTTACTTAAAAAATTTAAAAAAATTTTAAAAAGAATATTCTGGAACTGAGAAATGTCCAAAAGCCTGTTCTCAGAAGGATGGAGCCACTTGTAAATATGGAAGGATTTCAAACTAGATTCTTCACCCCATAAAAATGGCGGCTCGGAGCCCAGCAGTCATGAGAGAAAGTGAAATTTTCCACCAGCTCTGTTCCGGCAGGCCAAGGATATCCTGATAAATAATGACGAGGAGAC